ACACTTGGATTAGTGGCTATTTTTAAATTGTCAAAATTAAATTCACTTGTATAAAAGTATTGTCTTGGCCAAGCATGTTGGCATGCACCTGTGATCCCAGCATTTTGGAGACTGAGGCAAGAGGATCACTGTAAACTGGAAGCAGTCTGGCCTACACAGCAAGACCCCGTCTCTAAACAATCCAACAAGGCAGGCATGGTGGCACACACCTGTAATCCCAACACTCGGGAGGCTGAGGCAGAAGCATCAGGCCAGCCTGGGCTACGAAGTGAGTTCAAGGCCAACCTGAACTACATAGGGCATCCTATCTCAAAAAGACAAAACCTAAGTAAATAAACATGCAAAGGAACCCGAATAAGTGTTTTGAGTCAGAGTGCTCAGTGCTGAAATAGCTTCATGTTGGAGATGAGCCTGTCATGTCCGAGCACAGTGGCTGATGATAAAACCAGCTCCACGGATGAAAAACAAGCCATTGAGTAAATGAATGGACCAGACAAAAATGAATGTGGGAAGAGCGTCCGGGCCAGCGGGGAGAGGACGAGGAGTGAGTGAGTGAGTGACCGTGCTTAACAGCTTCCTGGGGGTACCGGCCAAGGGCTAGAGTAGGCTGCTGCTCCCCTGGGAGAGGAGGACGCAGGGGCCGGAGTCACCCGGCACCTGTGCCAGCCCAGCTTGGCCTGTGTGCTGCATGTCACTGCTGGTGTCTTCCAGCCCCGAATCTTTCTGTGCTGTTGCTTTCCCCTCCTCGCCACCTCCCCGGGCCTTGCCTCAGCTGGCCCGTACGCACAGTCGGCCTGCTTACCAGTAAGACCTCAGTTAAACCCAGGCATGGTGGTGCATGCCTGTAATCCCAAAGTGCAGGAGGCTGAGGTTGGAGGATGCCTGGAGTCATGGTCTGCTAAATTGCTTGCGCCCCCATGCCCTGCCTGCCGTCCCATGTCCCATGTCTGCACTCACCTCTCCTCACCTCTCTCTAGGAAGTTTAGGGGCCTCCTCCCCAGGCGCCACCCCACCCTTGCAGCTCAGATGTCCCCAGCTGGGCACTGAGGGAAGCTCCCTGTCACAGCCAGGGGCCCTGGTCCTGGTGTTAGGTACATGGGATGTTCACCTTCTTTCTACCTTTCTGAGGCTTCCTGCGTGGCAGATGGATGGTTTTGCACTGAAGCTTTCTGCTTTGCTTCACAGTTTATTTTGAGACGATTTTATGTTTATCTGTCGGAACTGTTTTTATTCTACCGGGTTCCAGACCCGAGGATCCCACATCCAGAACACCGCAACACAGTGGAGACCCCACAGTGCAACAGCGTTCCTCGTGCCCGGCTGCCCTATAAATCATCAGGAGCTTTCAATGAGCAAAGACCCGACTGACCTAGAGGGCGGGTTTATAAATAGTACCCCCAGGCCCCCTCCTTTAGCGCCTCTTTGCCTAATCCTCTCTCAAGACTGGACATGGCAGGACCTTTCAGTCTTAAAATGCAGGCGCCTTTTCCTCAGAAAACTCTGGTTAGCGAAAAGGTGTTAAAACAAAATGTTTTCACTAGGTTTGGTGGAGTGCACCTGTAATCCCACAGGAGGCTGAGGCAGGAGGGAGGGTCTCTAATTTGAAGCCAATCTGGGCAACACAGAAAAATTCTGGCTCAAAAAAACAAAGTCAGGGTGAGGCAGTGCAAGCCTGTAATCCCAGCACTCAAGAGGCTGAGGCAGGAGGATCACCATGAGTCCAAGGTCATCCTGGGCAAGTCCCTGTCTCAAAAAAAAACAAAACCCACAAATGAATGTTTTCAGCCAAATAATGATCAGTCATCAAAACTCACCTTTCATTTCTAACATTTTCCGCCAAATGTTTCCTCTCTAGCACTAGTCTCACTGGTACTGCTTTAAAACGCCTACCTTAATAGTCGTGTTCAGTAACAGGCTCCTATGGATTTGTGTTTTTATGATTGGTAAAGCAGTTCCCAAATGGTTACCTCTCTATGATGAACTGAGAGTCTTCATTCTCTTTTTCTCCTTTTGCAGTGCCGGGGATGAGACTTGGGGCCTTGTTTTTCCTGGGCTGCAGTCCTGGCCCATAGTCTTTCCAAAACTGACAGAGCAAGGAAGGGCCTTAGTAGCCTCCACCCCAGCACCTGAAGTGAAGCTCCCTTTGTCTTGCTCTAATTTTGTGTGACTTATTGAGAATAGACCCATATAAGTCTTACTAGGGTTGTAGTGTTTCGTTTTGTTTTCTTGAGATAGGCTTTTTGCTCTATAGCCCAGGCTGGTCTGGAGCTCAGGGTAATCCTCCTGTTTCAGCCTCCCAAGTGCTGGGATTAAGCCTGCAATTTCCCAAAGGAGTGGATGGTAAAGGCTTAAGAAAAACAGACAAGTGGCATGATTTTAGGGCACCAGGAGGACCTTTCAGTCTTAAAATGGAGGCGCCTTTTCCTCAAAAAACTCTGGTTAGCGAAAAGGTGTTAAAACAAAATGTTTTAGCAGAACTGAGATTCTCTGGGGGCTGAGACAAAGAACTTCTCTAGGTGCCCATGTTTATTTGGTTTTAAACAAGGGAAGGGCTTAAATAGGAAAGCAGGAAACTGCAGGACCTGGGCAGTGTGACTCAAGGACTTCTCCAACTAATACATTATGTTAACTTGGAGAGCTGTCTAATCTCCAGGCTGACCTTCAGCCCAGGAGTGAGAGTCTGCAGCTGCAATCTCTAGTCAATTGGGTGGGAGCCCATGTTGGCTGTGGCCTTGTCTTGTCCTTGGAGGCCTCAGGGCATCACAGGCCACTACAGGCCTCAGTCGAGACCCTGACTCAGAAGTTCACTGACTGCAGATGGACTGCCTGTCTCCAGATAAATGGCCTGGGCCTGGGGCATACCCACAGACAAACACAGAGGGCAGATTGGGTCCTTTTTTTAAAGTCCTGCTCGAATCTGCTTCGTGGTGTCTCCCTCACATTACCACACCCAGCTGCTGTGTTTGTTTTTAGGCAGATCTGCACCTATGCAGCTGTCAGGATTACAGGACACCATGCTATGGGGGAAAGAAAGGGGACCAGGGGTAGCGGAAGGAGGACTGTTTCTTAGGGGTCTGTGCTCTGCGCTGGGCACCGACACTTGGCCAGCTGCAGCTGTTTCTGTGAGGGTTTGGCCAGGCACATGTGCTGTGCTCAGAACTGGAAGGTGCATGCGAAGCACACAGGTGTGTGATTGGCTTGCTTTGGGATTTAGTTGTTAAGAGCGGGGTGCTGGGGATGTAGCTCATAGGAAGACTACTTGCCTGGCAAACACAAGACTCTGCAGTACAGCAAAAAATAAAATAAAACAAAGCCACGTGTGGTGGTGCACGCCAGTAACCCCAGAACTCAGGGAGGCTGACGCAGGAGGATCGCAGTTTGGAGCCTGAGCCTGCAATTTGGGCGGTCTGGTGACTTAGTCAGACCCTGCTCGGGGAAAGAGTTATGTGCCGACGGCCTGGCTTTAGTCCCCAGTGCTGGGATACACAGTACATATGTGAGAGCTGGTAAGGGAGGCACCCTGCCAAACCCGCCCCGTTTCCCGGTGACTTCTCCTGGCAACAGCAGGACCCAGGGTAACCTCTTCAGGGGGCCAGGTGTGGCACCACCGGATGCACTTCACTTCCGCTGTACTGCATAGGGTCCCTAGTGCACACGTGGGGGTCTCACAGGGGTGCAGGAGCTTGGCGTGTTTGTTCCTGCCGCCCCAGCGGCAGAGGGCTCTGCCCCAAGACCTCCTCCTGTGGCCGCAGCTACCGGGACAGGGGCCCGAAGCCTCCAGCCCGGGCCTCTTGCACCCCGCCCCACACGCAGAGCTGCCCCGGAGGAGGGGGAGGCTTGGGGAAGCGGGTTAGCTCCCAGAACCTGCACGTTACCAACCTTGCACACATTTTGCCTCCATGCTTGGATAACCCTTTTTCTTCATTGTTTGACTTTTTTATTTTTTGTCTTTGAACCTGGAATGGAAATCAAGACCTCACACCCACAAGCAGGCACTGCACCACTGAGCTGAATCCCCAGTCCCTGTTTGATTTTTTTTTTTTTAAAGTGCTGGGGATTGAACCCAGTGCCTTCATACTAAGCTACATTTCTCACTCTTTTTTTTTTTTTTTGTCTAAGCAGTTCAGGATGGCCTTGAACTCACCTTGTAGGTCAGGCTGGCCTTGACTTGAAGAGATTCTCCTGTCTTGGCCTCTCAAGTGTTAAGATTACAGGCATGCGCCACCGTGCCCAGCTTTGTTTTAAAACAGGGTCTCTGTGTACTTCAGGCTGGACTTGAACTCACTGTAGCCCAGGCTGGCCTTGGATTCACGGTTGCCTCAGCCTACCAAATGCCACAATACAGGCATGCACCAGCATACCCAGCTTCTAACTCTTTCTGTTTTTTATTTTAAAGTAGGGTTTGCTCAGTTGCCCAGGCTAGCTTGAACTTGGGATGCTCCGAGCCTTCTAGAGTACTGAGATTATAGATATGTACCACCACACCTGGCTGCTTCTGCCTTTAGATATCTTTGGGACTCTGCTGCATATTTTTACTCTGCATTGGTAACAGCAGTTGCAAAGACTGAGCAAAAAGTAGACAGGAGTTAGGTGAGCAGAGTGGTACATACCTGTGATTACAGCTAGTGGGGAAGTAGAGGCAGGAGGACCACAAGTGGAACCCAGCTTTGCCAATTTAGTGATACCTTGTCTCATAATAAAAAAAAAAAAAATTAAGCTAGATGCAGCATGCACCTATAATCCCAGCACTCAGGAGGCTGAGTCAGAAGGATCACTGCAAGTTGAGGCCAGCCTGACCTGCATAGCGAAACCATGTCTCAAAAAGAAAACCACAAAGGCCTGGTGACTATGGCTGGGCGAGAGAGAACTTCTGGCCTGGTGATCTCTCCAGTGTCACCAGGAAAAAGAAATAAGCTTGACTTGGTAGAGCTGCTCTGAGACCCCAGAGTACAAATGGGGAGCTGCTCCTGGGCTTCTCTCTCCTTAACCCCACTAATCAGCAATTGGATGAACCTTCGGGACGCCGAAACAGGGAAGATTCTCTGGCAGGGGACCGAAGACCTGTCTGTCCCTGGTGTGGAACATGAAGGTACTTCACAGCTCTCTGTGCCCAGGCTGGGGCCAGTGCCAGAGAAGGTCCACCACAGGGTGTCAGGGTACAGACAGGAATTGGCCGGTGCTGCTGCTGTGGTCAGGTCTCAACATTTCTTTTTCCCACACTGAAAACCCATCTCAGCCTTAGAAAGAGATTTAAACAGCATCTTAGCTTTTAGCCCAAAAGAAAATTTGTATTTTTGTCTCCCTGCTGTAGAAGCCCAGGTGAAGAGCTACAATGGAGAGAAGTGGGTGGGAGGGCACGGTGGGAAGTTAGGGGAGGCTGGGGCGGGGGTGGAGGGCTCCCTTCCCACTGCAACCCTTGGGAGAGCCCTTCATGGTGCCCACAGAGCCAGGTTCCTGGGCCCAAAGTCATGTGCTTCTTTGCTTTTTCTCATCAGCCCGAGTTCCCAAGAAAATCCTCAAGTGCAAAGCGGTGTCCCGAGAGCTAAACTTCTCTTCAGCCGAGCAGATGGAAAAATTCCGCCTGGAGCAAAAGGTTTACTTCAAAGGCCAGTGCCTGGAAGGTATCCGGCCGTGCCCCCCAGGAAGAAATGGCAGATGTGGCTGGGGCAGCAGTCACCTCAGGCTTGATGTGGCCAGGAGCTCAAGACCCCCAGGAAAGCAAAGCAAAGCACCACCTGGTCCCCGACACTGGGGGTGTGGCCTAGTGGCCACTGTGGACGACTGGGGCCCAGGACAATCTCACAGGCAGCATCAGAGGCTCCGGACTGCAGGGCTCCCATAGCTGCTGTCACCCCAAATGGTGCAAGTGCCAAGGCCAGCATAGCCGAGCCTTGTGTCAGCCCCAGCCAGGAGGTGCAAGCTTCTGGGTGCAGGGGCAGCCTGGCAGTCCTGGCTAGGATGAGGATGTCCTATGAGTGGGAAGAGGACACAGTGCCTTTGACCATGATGGTACTCAGCAGTCTCCCTCTTCCCTCCAGAGTGGTTCTTCGAGTTTGGTTTCGTGATCCCCAACTCCACAAACACCTGGCAGTCCTTGATAGAGGCTGCGCCCGAATCCCAGATGATGCCTGCGAGCGTCCTCACGTGAGTGCCAGTGTCTCCACTGGGCTTTGTCCAGCCTAAAGGACAGTGGGCAGACAGAAGGGATGGGTGATGAGTCCACCTGCCTGGGACCCCGACAGTGATAGAGGAGTATGCACACCTGCCGGAGGCTTTCAACTGGGATAGGTCATGCTCCTCACAGGGACCCCTCTGGACCTTGGAAGGGACAGGCTTCTGCCCACTGTCCTCTGGTATTTTTGGGCTTTCTTTGTGTCACCCTAACACAACCTGCCAGTCCTAACGCTGTTCTGGAGGGTGACTTTGCTTTCACATTGTCAGAGGCTTGCTTAGAATTTACTAGGCTTCCTGCCCAAAGAATAATTTGTCCTTTATCCAAACACACTATCCAGTGACTGCCCACCCACCATTTTCTCTTGGAAAAAGATATTAGTGTTTCAAATTTTTAGTAGGATGCTGGATGTGGTGGTGCATGCCAGTGATCCTAGTACTTGGGAGGCTGATGCAGGAGGATCTCTGAGAGTTTGAGACTAGCCTGGACTATAAAATGAGTGCAAGGCCAGCCTGAACTGCATATTGAAACCTTGTCTCAAAAAGGCAAAAAATTTTTTTAAAAAATTTTTTACTAGGGCCAGTAGAGCTTCCCTGGCATGCACAAGTCCTTGGGTTCCAGCCCCAACACTGCAAAAGATAATTTTCTGAGTGTGGTGGTGCACATTCCCAGTACTCAGGAGGCTGAGGCAGGAGGATCACCATGAGTTCAAGGCCAGGCTGAACTACATATTGAGTCCCTATCTCAGAAATAACAGTAAGGCCAGGGACTATAGTTCAGTGACATAAGTGCCTGCCTGGCAAGCACAAGGTTCTGAGTTCGATTCCCAGTACCAAAAATAAATAATTAAATAAACGTTTTAATAACTCTGACCTTCTGGAGAATCAGTCTCCCCCTTCAAAAAAAAAAAAGAGTTGCATGGATAATTGAGAAAATAAGAGAAAAATATTTAAGCAAAGAAAAAGTATTTGAAGGCTAAAAAGATACACCTGCAGTGCTACCTAACTACATAATGCCACCCCATCCCACTCCACCCCCCTAAAAAGGCTAAAAAGATAACTGGCTAAAAATAATTTTGTGACATCAAATTGTTTCCTTCCTTGGTCCTTTATGAAATCCACATCAAATAGGTAAATAGATTGTGTACTTTTTAATTTTTAATAGGTTTTTTTTCTTTGAGTTTTCATCACAGTGGTAGCAAAGGAGACGCAGGCAGGCGGGTGCTGGGCTCCTGATGACCCACCCCTTGCTGTGGCCACCCTGGGGTGCGCACAGGAACGATGGTGGTTTGGGGGAGCAGACTGCAGCTACCTGCAGGAGTGAGGACGCCTCGGGCCTTCGGCACCACGAGCTCTGCCCAGCGGCCCAGCGGGCGCCTGCTCACCGCGGCCCTCTCTCCTGTGTCCTCTCTCGCAGCGGGAACGTCATCATAGAAACAAAGTTTTTTGACGATGACCTCCTGGTCAGCACGTCCAGAGTGAGACTTTTCTACATCTGAGCCAGAACTCACGCGCTTGTGGAGCTGCGCACGAAAGAGGAAACGTTTGCTTCTTCCTCGGCTCAGCTGAGTTTCCCAGACTCCCGATCCGGGACCAGACCGCAGGTAACCAGGCGGCTATTTCCCGGCCCAGCCGCGCCTCCCACCGCCCTTAGGGGCAGGGCTCAGCCGCACCTGTTACTGGAGGCTTCCGTGGCCCTGGGTTTTGGGAAAAAATTCACGATTCTGCCCCATGTTTAGCTTTTTCCTACCATTTCTATTTGGTACATTCTCATACATTTAACTTGTAAAATAGACTGCAATATTATTTCATAATGTAATTAAAACATGAATTAAAATACTCCCGCGTCGTTAGCATGGTCTTGCTTCCATCCCTCCTTGTCCAGAAGGTGGCGCTGTCCTCGAGGCGGGAAGGAGGACCTTGAACAACTCCAGAGCCCACGCAGCGGCCCTTGACTGCGACTCCACCAAAGCCGACCTGAGCTAGGAGTGGGCAGCGCTTTGCCCAGAGGCCAAAGTCTGATGCAAGACAGAGAGACAGGATTTACTTCTCAGTGCTGTAGGCTTCAAAGTCCTAAATACCAACCATTAAGTTTCCTTGAGAGCTGGGCATGATGGCACAGGCCAATAATACCAGCACTCAGGAGGCTGAAGCAGGAAGATCTCCAGTAGAAGGCCAGCTTGCATCACAAAGTGAGTTCCTATCTCCAAAACGAAGTTTTCTAGTAGCCAAAGTAGCAACTGGGAGGCCTGAGGATAGGATGGCCCGCTGGAGAGGGAGATTTCTCAAATTCCTGTCCTAGGTCCAATACCTGGCTTTGAGTGAAGAGAAAAGTAGGCTATGCCTGTGTTCCTGTACTTGCACTATCTTTCAGTGAGGATTCTGTTCCTCCCACCATCACTGTCTTCAGGAGGTTTTTTTGTTTTTTAGTTTTTTTTGTTTTTTTTTTTTTGAGACAGGATCTCACAGTGTCACCCAAGCTGGCCCTGAACCCACTATGTAGCCCAGGTTGATCTGGAACTCATAACCCTTCCGCCTCAGCCTCCCCAGTGCTAAGAGTACAGGCGTGCTCCCCAAACCTAGCCAAGTGTCTTGCTGGGTATGGTGGTATATGCCTGTAATCCCAGAACTGAAGGCGGAAGCAGAAGGATTATCATGAGTTCAGGGCCTGCCTGGGCTGCATAGCAAGAACCTGTCTCAAAAACAAAAACAGCATGTCTTAACTACCAAAGGTTGGGTTTTTTAAAAAAAAATGAGTGAAGACAGGCATAGTGGTACAAGGCTTTAATTCCACAATCTGGAAGGCAGAGGCAGAAAATTTGCAAATTAAAGGCCATCCTGGACCTAGTAGCAAAAAAAAAAAAAGTTTGAAAAAAAAATAGCTGGTCACAGTAGTGTACGCCTGTAATCTCAGCACTCAGGAGGCTGAGGCAAGAGAATCACAAGTTCTAGCCAGCATCAGTAACTTAGTAACTTACCAAAACCCTGTCTCAAAATTAAAACTAAGAGAGATATACTTCATCTGAAAACTTGGGGTTCAGTGCTCCATACATGGGGAAAAAAAGAATCAAACTTTCCTTTTGCTTTCTTGAAATGCCACACCTTTTCTCCCAGCTCCTTTTCTGCACTGTGTCTGTTCCCCAGAATCCCTTGGGGACGCTGTGGGCCTGCAGGCATCCTAGAGGAGAAAACAGCTCCTCCAGCCTGCTCTCTGCCCTCCTCACTGCCTGATGGCTCCTCGCAGGGAGGTAGACGCCAGATGCTAGCAAGAAACAGCACTGCAGAACCAACCGTGCACAAGCATAGGCTCCAGCCATGTGGCAAGGTGTGAGCGTGCGCAAGGCTCAAGGTTGATCCTCACACAGAGCAGTAAAAAACATCATTAAACAAAACAAAAAGCCCCGCTTTGTGGCGCACATCTATAATCCCTATAAGCCCCATTTATTTATTTAATTTTGAGACAAGTTCTCACTAAGTTGCCTCACACCTATTTCCTGAGCACTTGTGAATGCAGCAGGCAGCACACAGAGGACACGATCCGCCCACTTCTCCCGGCCTGCCGAATCTGAGGAGCAGGAACAGACTGGAGGTGGACAGGGCAGGGGCAGGCTGGGGCCCTGGGGAAGCCTGGCTTCCTGGAAGGCTGACCCAGCCCACTTGTGAGAGTACGGCCTCAGCCCCACCATGTGGGAACACAGATGCACTCCAGTGATTCCAGGCTTCTGGCTGGTGGCTGGCAGCCAGCCTTGGTGTCCCAGCCAGGTGACAGAGAGTGAACACTACGTCAGCCTTAGGTTTTGCGATTTGATGCAGCCTGGCTGCTTCCCCTGCAGCCACATTGACATAGGAGGACTGGGCCTGGAGATGGGGCCACTAGATGCTCCCGGTTCCCAAACTGTGTTCCAGTGGACCCCAGGGCCCTGCCACCCACACGGAGATGCAAGGAGTTTTCTTCATTTCCCTGTAATTCCAGCACTCAGGAGGCCAAGGCAGGAAGGATCACTGCAAGTTCAAGGCCAGTTTGGGCTCCATAGTGAGCTCAAGACCAGCCTGAACTGCATGGCAAGACCCTGTCTCAAAAAAAAGAAGAAAGTGGGGGCTGGGGATTTAGCTCAGCAGCATAAGCACCTGCCTTGCAAGCAGGTGGTCATGAGTTCGATCCCCAGTACCAATAAAAAAAAAAAGAAGAAGAAGAAGAAGAAGGAAGCAGCAAACACTACAGGACATCTGCTCTGCTGACTTGGAGGCCGAGTTCCAGCAGTAGATGCTCCATGCAGCACTTAGGGGAAATCAGGCTCCCAGAAGCCCCCAAGGGTAGAAAGCAAGTGACCACAGAGAAGTCAGTGTACATCCAAAGTGAGCGTGGTGGGGCCAGCCCATTGGGAGGGCCACTCATGGGGCATAGAAATGATATGGGTAGGGGCTGGGGATTTAGCTCAGCGGCATTAGCGCCTGCCTTGCAAACAGGCAGTCGTGAGTTCGATCCCTGGTACCGATAAAAACGAAAAAGACCAAAAAAAAAAAAAAAAAGAAATGATATGGGTGCCAGGCATGGTGGCATAAACCTGTAGTCTCAGCGCTCAGGAGACTGAGGCAGGATGATTGCTGTGAATTCAAAGCCAGCCTGGACACACAGCGAAACCCTGTCTCAAGAAAAAAATAAAGAAAAGAAAAGAAGAGCTAAGATGAAAATACTAATGAGTTGTTCGCACCTCCTGGCTTAGAAGAGAAGTTGAGCGTTTTTCTGGCCTGGGTCCATTATGAAAAATTTCTGAGGTACTAGCATTGCTGTGAGTTCACAAAGCCAGGCCCTCTGGGAACACAGTGGCTATCAGGCAGATTCACCCGTGGGAGGCCAAGAGACCTACGCCGCTCCCCCCTACAGCAAGGGCCATGGGCAGGCAGCAGCCACCCACTTCCAGCAGCGGCCTGGAAGGGGGCTTCACAGTCACTCCCAGACTCCTGTGCTTGCTCAGGGAGATGCACTCAAGGTGACTCCTGCAGTCTTGGTGACTCCGGAAGTGACGTGGCACTAGACTGTCATCCAAGCGGCTCCGCTCCACCATGGGAAGAGAAGCCCAATCAGTGCCTCTTGAATGTTTAATATAAATTGTGATTCTTTCTTCATTTTTAGCTAAATTGTGATATGTGATGTTATCTGAATTCCATGTTCTAATTCACTTTGCTATCTGAGTATTTTATCGGTACCGGGGATCAAACTCAAGACCACACACTTGCAAGACAAGGCGCTTAAGCCGCTGAGCTAAACCCCTATCTGAGTATTTTAAAGGACACAGGGTGCCCCTGTGTAACCAAGCCGTGGGTGACTAGTCTGCTACTTACAGAGTTTAAGGTTGCATTTTACTGTTCATGTTGAAATGGACATGGAGAGGGCTCTTTTCTTTTATTTTCTTTCTTTTCAGTATTGGGTAATGGGTGTAGGGGGTCCGCACTGAGCTGTATCCCTAGGCAATTTTTTTTTTTTTTTGACACAAGATCTCACTAAGTCACCTAGGCTGGGAACTTGAGACCATCCTGCTTTAGCTCCCAAAGTGCTGAGATTATAGGCCTGTACCATAGTCCCTTGCTCATTTATTTTCTTTTATAGTGCATTTTTGGCCAAGCATATTATATCCTTGGAGTCTACTTCTCGATTAAGCTTAGAATCCTAATAATCCAGCCCGGTGTGGTGGTACACACCAGTATTCCTAGAACTCTAGGAAGCTAAAGCAGGAGGATTACAAGGTCAAACTCAGTCTGGGAAATTTAGCAAGACTGTCTCAAAACTTGAAAAGAAATGTGGTAAGTGTGGTGGCACACACCTGCCATCCCACCACTGGGAAGGCTGACACAGGAGGATCTGTGAGTTTGACTCTAGCCTAGGCTACATAGCAAGTGCCTGTCTCAAAAAGAAAAGAGGGGGCTGGGGATTTAGCTCAGCGGCATAAGCACCTGCCTTGCAAGTAGGTGATCATGAGTTTGATCCCCGGTACCTATTAAAAAAAAAAGAAAGAAAAGAAGAGAATCCAAATTTCTTCCATTAGATGACTGTCAGCTGGGGAGGGGGCATTGCAGAGGATCTAACCATAGCTCCAGATAAGCTAAGTATGTGCCCTGCCACTAAGCTGCAGGCAACCTCACCACACCCTTGAATGGCTTCTATTCAGCAATGATCTCCAGTTCATTTGGTAAAATTAGGTCAAGATTGTAGCCAGTTTTTCTAGAAGGATTCTAAGAAAGTAAGATTCTAAGAAAGTAAGGCCTTAAAAGCAGACATTTTGGTGGATACCATGATACAAACCTGTACTCCCAGCTACTCCAGAGGCTGAAGTGAGAGGATTGCTTGGGCCTAAGATCAGCCTGGACAACATTTGCAAGACCGCTCTCCTTGCCCCCCAAAAAGACGATGAATGTGGTGATGTACACCTGTAATCCCAGTATTTTCAGTATTGTAAAATATCCTTTTTTGGGGGGCTCAGGCAGGAGGAGAATCATGGCAAGTTCAAGGCCAGCCTGGGCTGCATAGTGAGACCCTGCCCCCCAAAAAAAGGATATTTTACAATACTGAAATAAGTTTATGACTATAGTGATCTTCAAACATTTCTGGGCTACAAATGGTGTCACATGGCCCTGAATCCTACAGCCGCGGTATCTCTGAGGGATGAACACTCTCCAAGCAGTGCCTTCTTGTTCCCCTCCCTGGGTCCCATTCTAAGTCACTTCTCTGCCTTGCTGCTGGCTAAACACGGGAAAGTTTTGTTCATTTTCTTAGCGCTGGAGAGCAAGCCCAGAGGTACTGTAACACTGGGGGTATAATCCCATCCCTTTGTGGTTTTTTT